TCCCTACATAGGGGTCAAGTCGTCGAATTAGCCCAATAGGCGATCCTCACTTCGTTAAAAACCATTAGAAAGAACCTCAAACCCTTACTAATGCTTCATTCCCTTTCAAACCTAAGGCCTACAAGCATTAAGGATTACAATTCTCATGCAATTTATTGCTAATTATGAGGTTTTTCAAACTAAGACCTCAGTGTCAAAGTTAATTTGCTACTTGATTGGCAGTGCAGCGAATTTGAGTAAAATTATTTATTTACTTATTTTATAGTACAAATGATAGTCCAAATTAAAATGGAATGAGATTTCTCTCACACACACACAACTAAGATGTTCTTGGAGTTCGAATATGAGACCTCTTATCTGCAAGTCAATACTATTTTCTACTGGACTAGACCCGTTGGTAGTTATTTAGTTTTAATCACTTTTGACATGTATTGTATATTTTCTTAAATTTTTTTTTAAAAAAAATCTTATTCAAAAAGGAAATAAATACCCGACCCGGAATCTGATCCCAGATTGGATAAAATAGAAACCCGAGAACCATACAAAATCCGATCCCCAAACCCAACTTTATTTCCTTCTCTCCTTCTTCGACTCGATTGCCAACAATCTTGGTCCTTCGAAACCCTAAAAACCCCTTGAATTGTCAACAATGGAGGACACCAAATCCAAGACATACAACCTCTTTGTGACCCTTTTGGAGGGCAAAACCCTTACCCTAAAATTCACAGCCCCAGATGTCTCCGCCGCTTCCATCAAGAACCGCCTTCTCGAAATCACCAAAATACCCCTCCACCACCAGCGTCTGGTTACCGGGACTCGCCAGCTCAAGGATGATTCCGTAATTTCGTGCTCCTCAGACGTGCCGTACTTCCCAACGGTCCATCTTCTGCTTCGGCTCGTCGGCGGGAAAGGTGGTTTTGGGTCGCTGCTGCGTGGGGCGGCGACGAAGGCCGGGCAGAAGAAAACGAGCAATTTCGATGCGTGTCGTGATATGAGCGGTCGGAGGCTGCGCCACGTCAATGCGGAGAAGAAGCTTGAGGAGTGGAGGGCTGAGGAAGAGGAGAGGAGGCTTGAGAAGAATGCAGAGGACTTTCTGAAAAATCTGGCGAAGAAGGGCAAAAAGGGAACTGGAGACGCCGAGGCTGAAAAATATGTGGCGAAGTATAGAGCTGAGTCGGAGCGCTGCGTCTCCGAGGTTTTGGATTCGGTTAAGGAGGCTGTGAGTGGGAAGCGTAAAGGGCCGGCCAAGAAGGCGGTGGCACAGTCGAAAAGGATGAAAATTTGGTAAGGAATTTGATTGATTTTAATGGGTTCTGTTTCTCTTATGTTAGTTATGTTGATTGTGTGCTAGGAGATTTTTGGAAGTTGTGAAATTGAAGGAAGATTTTATCCTTTTACTCAACATGGCTGATGATTTTCATGATATGTATTGTTTATAGGAAGGTTAGAAAATAAAAGGAAGTAATGGAATGGGTAAATGAAGGCGGTTTGTATAAATTGGTCTTTGTAATGTTTTGGACTTATGTTAGTTATAGGTATAGAGGTTAAATTATATGTTAATTAAAGTTCAGAATTCTAGAACTGCTTGGCTAGATTCTGTGTTGCTGAATATTTGGCTGATAAAGCCAAGTTCTTTACTCTATCAGTTTCCTGTTGCTTTATGAAGGTCAGATATGATAGTTCATACTCGGTTTGGTTAAGCCAGAAGGTCTCAGTAAGTTTAGAGGAGCCTAAGTTTTGGAATAATCTCTACTGTTGGCAGAGCTTTGTTTCAGCAATACTACATTTTCGTTCAGAAATTTTTTGCTATCAAAGCTGTCTCTCTCTTGTATTAAAATATAATCTTATTGGTATTCACATCTGAGTTTGTTGTTTTTGTCAGGATGGGCAAGAGAAAAATGGGTGAAAGTGACAGTGATACAGAGGATGATGACAGTGATAATGAAGATAAAAAGGAGAAATCCGTTGTATTAAATAGTGGGAATAACTCAGATTCAAGTAAGGATGCTGAGGGAAGTTTGGATTCTGTGACTGGTAGGAAACAGGACGGTGAGATCTCAGGTGGAGGGTCGGGTGAGAGTGGCTCTGAGGAAGAGAAAGAGATTGTTGTGCAGGGAACACAGGGTCAAGAATCTCTTCACAGTGAGAAGAATGATGTGGTTGAATCAGTAATTCATGAAGAGAAGATAGTTAGGAGTGCAAGTACCCCTTATTCAGAGCCTGATGCGGTTTTGAAACCTGAAGCAGTGCAAGAGGAAAAGATGGATTGCAATGGACCGGATATGGGAAATCTAGATGTAGTCGATCAGTCCCAGGAGGTTTCTAGTTCAGGTGATGTGAAAGGAAATGAAACTACATCAATTGTTTCTGAAGCCAATGGTTCTTTGGAATCCAATCCACAAGTTCAGGAAGAAACAGTTGCAAGTGGAGACGCTGCAGAGATAGAGAAGCCACTGAATTTTGATGAGTTCAATTCAGCAGCAGAAATGGAGGTATGCTTTTGAGAAGTTTATTTTGTCGTATTTATAATCTTTCTGGCAATATACTATGCAGCCATTGTTGCTTATTAGGGTGATGTAGGTTTTTTGCATGCTTCGTTTAAATCTATTAAGGCACTGTTTCAGACCCAAAAAAAAAATATTAAGGCACTGCCGTTTCAAGAAGCTGAATTTTTGTTCAATATGTACAAGATAACTCTACCTTGTGGTCATGAATCATCATGTCCACTTCCAAGAAAAATTAAAGCCCATGCTAATTTATACATACCTACCTGATTGCTTTTTTCATCACAGCTCTCACCATCATCTTTCCTACCATGCTCATTTTAGTTAGGGATGCTTTGACATCAAATCATTAGTGAGCATTAACATGATTTTTCCACCTTATTGTGATAGGTTCTCGGCCTGGAAAGGTTAAAGTCTGAACTGCAAGCTCGTGGGTTAAAATGTGGTGGTACTATGCAAGAGCGCGCTGCTAGGCTTTTTATGCTAAAATCTACCCCGATCGAGAAGATTCCAAAGAAGCTGCTTGCAAAGAAATGAGAATATAATGTACTTCTTCTTTTTACTTTGTAGAGGAAAGCCTCTTCTATAATGAATGAACAAGGGGAGTTTAGTGTATGTTAATATTTCAATCTCTGCCCAGTTGTTGACTAGTTATGTACTTGTATGTATACCTTTGATGGATAATGTCTGATCCTTTGACTGATGCAATTTTCATGTTGTTTTTTTCAACTTCACTCTGTAGAAGCTGCCCTGTGCATTATCTGTGGTTTAGATTTGCTCTTCTTTTTTACAAGCCTGAGTTTTCAACCCCCAAAGTTACACATTCTATTGAGTAAAATATCTACACACAAAAATTGGGTATGGAGGGTAAAGTCCCGCAAAATCTTAACCACTATGTACACTAACGCGTGAGTAAAAGTTTACAAAATAAAGAAGTTAAAAAAAAAAAAAAAAAAAAAAAAAAAAACAAACTTTTTTTAAAAAAAAAAAAAATCAGACATTGTTCGAGTTTGAGTCGGCATGTGCCGGGGATGGACTGTTTCGGCAAACTGGGCATGTGCTGTTCAACCGAAGCCACTCATCAACACAATCAGCGTGGAAGCAGTGTTTACATTCCGGGATGCATCTCACCGTCTCCTTGGTCAGATACTCCGACAAGCATATAGCGCACGTGGTGTCGTTGGGCCCCGGCAGCCGGCGGCTCTCACCAAGAACTAGCATCTGATATGACTCAATGGTGGTCTGGTCCAGACCCATGGTTACAATGGTGGGTTCATGCGGTTGTGGTTCGGCGGCAACTGCGGTGGCGCTTCGTTGTGCAGAGCCACCAGGAACCCTGTCCTTGATGCAAGCAAAGCAGGCTATCCCAACTGCGCAGGTGAGGGCTGGTACCGTGATGGACATGCAAATGATCCTGAAAACTTGGAAGCCCTTGTTTGATCCGCCTGGAATTTGAAGCCATTATTTAGTGCTGGAAAACAAGCTCTTGCTCTGCAGATTTAGAATTGCATTCCACTTAGTGGCCACCCAATGCATTTTCTTCTTGTTATTATTATCATCTTTTTATTCAAAAAATTATTATTAATTTATTTTCTTATCCCTTAAAAAAATTTATTTTAAAAAAAAAGTTAAAAAGATTAGGAAAGAAGTAGTTATTGGGTTTTGACTTTTGGCCCCTGCCCTGCCCCTGTAACATATGAAGTGGAACTTTTCAAATCAATAAAGAAAGCTTTAACGTGTGCCATAGTATCAGGGAAAATCAAGTTATGAAGTTTTCTATTCATCCTTTTAGTTGGCTTTTTTTTCCCCCCCTGATACATAGTTGACATCGCTTTAATTAGTAATATTGGCATAATTATGCATAGAATTTTTTTAAATTTTCACATGGTTAATTCCAATTCTACGAACGAACACACTTCAATTAGGCAATTAATCTGTGAATTAGGACACTGAAAATAATAAAGATTAAAGAACCTGCTGTTGAATTGTAGTCGCAGACAAGTTCTTGGCTGGTGTTGCTGAAGAGTCCGCAAATCCCACCTTGGATCTCACAGGCACTGCAAGCGGGTTCATACCAAGTCAAAAAAAGATCCGAATCAAGGTTGGTCGAGAACCCGTCCTCCGTCTGGACCTGCCTGGTAACCGGAACAGCCAATGTGGCAAGAATCCGACACGTGGTGGACATGGAGTTTGCAAGGGTGGTGGAAGGGGTGGCCAAAACTGAGGTGGTGGAGTTGCTGAGGCAGTCAATGGGGGTGAACCTTGACTTGGTGAAGGAAGCCGGGCAGCTGAGGAAGGTGTAGTTTTGATACACAGCAGCAACAAAAGGAGACCCTGCAAGGCTGAGACTTAGAAGCTTTTGAGGGAGGCAATTGTTGGGGTCGTAGAGCTGAATCTCTTGAGTGGCATAGCTGATTGCTCTGACGAAAAACTCTCCGGAAAGTGGAAGTTTTATGACTGTTAGGCCCTGGCTGTTGCAGGTCAGGTTGAAGCCCGGGTAGCCGCAGTTTTCGGGTTGCTGGGCTTGTAACCGGAACGGGAAGCGGATGGGGAAGCCGGTGTAGCCACAGACGGAGACCGGGCAGTCGTCTCGGGCGTAGACGTGGGGGAAGAGGAAGAGGAGGGCGAAGAAGATGTCTAAGATGTCCATAATACCAAAAGGTCTAAAACCAGGATGAGAAGGTGGAATTTGTAGGAGAGATTCATTAAAAAATTCAACAAATTCTAAAGTCAAAAGTTTATGAAGTAATGGTAGCTCTAGCCCACATCAGAAGCAGTGGTCATCACTCACCACGATCGTTGCTTTTGTACGATTTTACCAATTAGAATATGTTTGTGTGCTAAAGGTCAGCAGTGAGCGCAGATCACATGTAAATCCTATTTAACCACATTTTTTTTTCAGTTTTAAATCTAAAGTCAGAGATTAAATTCACAGATTTGGTAAGCTAAAAGAAACCATTAAAGATTAATACGCAACTAACATCCACTTGCCAAGGAGTGCACGTAAGATCAACTAAAATTAACATTTATATTTGTAGCACAGCACGTGTATTTATCAATTCTACAGGGAAGACCACACTATCTCAAAGCTTTCATGTTTTCCCTTTTAAGGGGAGTAAACAGGAAATTAAGCTACTAATTACTAGTTTAATGAACCCCAATATGGGTTTGTTTTCTGTTTTTTTTTTTTATGGGTATCAGTTTATCAGAAGGGAATGTTTTCACTTTTGGCTAAGACCAGAGGGATGGGACTTTACAGGAGCTGCTGAGAGATTCTAATAGATACAACTTCACCTCCAGCTCCAGCTCTCATGACTTGGTATTTGACTTGAAGTCCTGGTATCAAGAAATTCGACGAAAATGCGAACATTAGACATAAATTTGTCGATCAACAAATGGCTAAAGGCAATGCAATTTTTATGTTCATATATGTCAGCTTGGAAAAATCAGAAGTTTTTTCTTTTTCTACCTTCATTTTTCTGTAAGTTGGTGTTGACTGCAACTGAATGTAGAGTAATGATAGCCTTTGGTTGCCAGTCGTTCGGTTTACCAACCCATGACTTGAGATTAAAGACTGCTGCCATTTCATTTGGAAATTTGACCTCATTAACTTGTATGTTCAGCAAACAGAAGTAGAGGTAACATTAAGACTAATTAATGAGATTAACGTTGACTAATTTTGGGTTATTGGAGCAGTAGCAGGGCAAAGAGCATCTGAAGAAGTTACCAGATGTTGGAGAGTCATTGAGATGTTTGAGATCGAAAATAGCCCCCGAAGCACCATCGACATGCTTTTTGACATCATGGGAACCGATAAGTTCGTATTCCCAGCTTCCATCCTGGTACCCCTCGCGCAAGAACAATTCTATATGCCTTGCATCCAGTGTCTGCATTGTTCCTGCGCATAACAAACATGAAATGAGAGACCCTGAAGCCCTTTGCCTCCAATCCCCCTGGCTTTCCAAGGACTTTTAATAAATAGCTAATAATTTGATCTGTCAAAGTTCAAACACAAGTATTGAGAAGTGATGGGTTTTGTTCTGCCTTACCATCACATGTATTGAGCTCGCAGACGGGGCATCGAACAAGTTGGAGATCTGTGGGAAATCATTAAGTTGAAAATTGAAGTTAATTTGAAGTGTTCAAGAAAAACAAAAAATTTGATCTTCATTTGTCTGAAAGAAAATGGCAGGATGATTGAGTGCAGCTGAAGTTACCAGCTATCCATATCCCAGCTTTAACGTTATCCAGCACACAATAGCCGCAGGCCTCCAACATTTTCTGCATGGTATCTTCTTCTGGGAGTTTCGTTGGGTTTCTCAGCCTTTCTGTCAAGAGTGCTTCTGAAGATTCAACGGAAAATGCACCAATCCGCATCCAGTCTGATTAGTCCAAACAAATACGAAAAGAAACTCATTAGTCTTCTGTGGAAATTATTATACATATGGTGAGGTTTGTGATTATTGTTCATCCCAAGAGAATAAGGAGAAAGCATTTGTCTTATATTTTAAAGAAACAGGACACCTGTGACAGCCAATTAGTCCACACTGCACTCTAGCAATGCAATTAGACACATAAGAACATAGAAACCAGCTGAAAATTAGACATGCATCAATTTCCAAAGACAGGAGAAACAAAATGCGTACTCGAAGAGAAGTTACTTACCATTATGACTTGCTAGAAGTTCTCATTGACTTTTGAAAAATAAAAAATAGAAACCAATACAGTAAGGACTTTTGGTTGGCTAAAGTTCTCACTGACTTTCGACGGTCTTCAAAAGTCCTCATTGTCTTCACTACTTATTGTCTTCAATCCAGTTATGATATATAGCACACAATCATCTTTTAATATGAATCTTATTTCGCCAACAAAAAAAAAAAAACAAAAAATCATATAAACGTCATGCAAATCTTACATGATATAGATTTCTTTGAGAATAATCATGTGTTATCTTATTATTAATTTTGACGTGACATAATGATAACATTTTCCTACTTGTGGTAAAATTGCGCACAAAAACCACCGAAACAGAGGTAAAATTGCGCACTCACCAATATGCTTCTCCTTCTGGCGGAACATGTAAGAATGGCTTCCATCTGCAAAACACCAAACCCAATTGGTTCATTAGCATTAGCAATCCCACTTGATCAGACGATTATAATTCGTTTTAAACCAGTCTAATCAAATATAATTGAGATCTGGAGGCTCGGATCCGTACCGAAGGCTGAAACGTAGAGCTTCCTCCAATTGAATGCCACGTGGAGAGGAGCAGGGACCTGAAGATCACGCAGGCACGCGTACTTCCATATGCTCCCTTCCATAATCAGACCGTGGAACCAACGACATGTCGTTGCGAGCATCACCAGTGCCTTTCCGTCTAGATACTTGGCGATCTCTGTCCAAACGTCCTCTTCGTACCTTTTTAAATACAACAAAGGAAAATTAGTTACGGCCTGTGAAAATTCGAAAATTAGTTACGCTCTGTTTGGTTACTGTTGAAATGCTTTCCAAATTAAACACAGAGGGATTCTCAGGATTTCTCAGGTGAAAAATGTAGATTTCTCGTTTTCTCTGTTTTTCTCGGCAACCAAACAGGTACCAAAATAGATTTATACTAGAACAGCTTCCTCTGCAACTAACAAACAGATATACATACCGTTCTCTGTAAACATATTTTTCTCTACGAAAACCCAAATCTGTGCTTGAAATTGAACTAACTGAATCATGAACTTTTCAAAATTTTGACCAAATTAGAAAGATCGAAGTCCATATCAAGTTCGAAGAACAACGAACATGCAAAGCATAATTCAGCTTCAAATTTCGAGCAAAATAGAGAAAAATTCAAATCACAGCTCCGATTTCAATCTAAATCCTTCATTTCTCAGTCGAATGCATGTAGACGTAAAGATAGAAGCTCAAATACACAGAAACAACATTTGTACAGCAAAATAATTCAAATCAAATCACAAGTCATCACTTAGAATCTCATTCATGATTCATGAACTCAAACACATAGGCACAAACACATTCAAAAGCATTTGAGCACGAAATTTCGAAATTCAAGTTCAAATTGAGAGAGAGAGAGAGAGAGAGAGAGAGAGAGAGAGCCAGCAAAAGGCAGAGCCAGCGGAGTTGTCAGTGAAGCGAGGAGAGCTGCAAGAGCAAATCGTCTTGGTTCTTCTCATACGCTTTTGCATTTGCGGAGGTTGGGGCTGGGTGACGACGGCTCTCTTGCGCTTCGGCATTTTCTCAGTGTGTGTTTGGTTGTTCTGAGCCAAAACTAAAGCGATCGCTCTTTCAAAGCTCCAAGGCTTTGCTATTTATACGCGCGCCACCCTCAAATTCAAAATATAACAAACTGAATTCAAAATATGGGCCTACATTATGGGCCGGCAGATCAATAGTATTTTCTCTAAGCTGGACTTCCACGTGGCCCGTATCTTTCATGGTGCCTTTTTATTTTTTAGATTTATTAAATTTGAAAGCAATTTTGGGTTATTTTTTTAATGATTAAAGATTTTCATTAATACTTGGATGGAGAGATAAATTCTTTGGGAATGCATAGAAACCCCTATTTATTTGCAGTGGACATATTCGGCCATTAGTTTCACATGCAAGAGAACAAAGGAAATATTTGAGGAGAATACAAATATACGAAGCTATTTGATTTAAATATGAAAAGAAAATGCTTGGATACCATTAGCCTCGGGGGATAAGCTCAATTTAATTGAGTCTCGTTCATTTAAATAACAATTTGGAAAAAACTTGGCTCCTTAAAAGTCAAAACTGAGGAGTAACTTCCTTAAACATTCTCTTTTTTCTGTTGGAAGTTAATCAATTTTGCTGAAATTTGACAAATGTCAAAACCACATTGGAGGAGCTCCTCCAAGCCAAGCTTCCTTCTTTAAATAAATGGACAAATGGTAAACCAAGTACCCAAAAGGAAATGTCAATATTGTCAGGCAACAATTACAATTAGACATGAGAAGATTGTATAATAATCCGTCAAACTTTTACACCAAAAAAATGCCGCAGCCAAATATTTGGGGTATTACATTGTAACTGAATGGTTACAACACGACTAGCAGTAAAGAAACTAGAAAGAATTACAAGCTCAAGGAAAAGAGAAAGAAAAGGTGAACTTATTGGTTAGGAGATGGGTCAGCGCTGTGCAGAGATGAATTGGGAGCAAAAAAAATGGATGAACTGTGAACTAATTCATAAATTTCCTACAGTTGGAAGCTTTACACAGGCAGGGGACTTTCAGCTCATCATGTTCATCCGGATCAAACAAGTAATCGTACCTGTTAAAAAGAACAGTAGGGAAACATCACTTTTGCGAACCAAATTGGGGTCAATCTAAACCGATGCAGCAAAATTTAAACCAAACCCGGAGAGAAGAAGACTTACGTTAGTTCTTCACCTACAGGCACGTTAGTCTTAGCAATGAGAACTATCCGGCTGTCTTCGTCACCCACGCTCATGATCCTTGCAAAGCAGTTGGGCATGCACTGCAGGACAGGCGATTAAATTTAGCATCATGACATGCAAGATGTGCATGCATCCAGAACTCTGGAAAGTCATTTCTATTACACCACATTTTGCAAACAAGGGGAAATTCAAGCTTTGACCAAATTTTACAACTTAGGCTGTGCTTGCATAGCACTTAGCAAATCCAACCAATCCAGACTTGTGATGGATAACTTGAATTACAGATTAAACCAAGTCACAAGCACCCAAAACCAAAAACCCCCAAGTAATTAGCTACACCTTCACTCAAAATGGAGAGAATAGGGAAAAATGGAACTCACCGAATGGTTAATTAAGCGTGCTATATTTCCCTTATTCGTAGCATCAATTACTACTTCGTCACTGATCTTGAAGAGCTGCCAAAAAAAATAGTTCAGACTTCAAAATCACATCTTAATGACAAATAAAATTTGATAGAAAGAGAGGTAACTGTGCGGTAGGTGCTTGAACAAGTTGGGTACGTAGGAGCACACAATTTCTACGGGTTCAAGTCAAAGTGATCTGGCACATAAACATAAACATCCCATATCTTTACTGTATGACCACCTTAAGGTGATGGATCAACCTTTCTTCTATATGACCACCATTTTTTTGTTTCTATCTTCATTTTTGTGCCAAGCTTCTCCTACTTTCTATAAGAGGAGAAATAAATTTGGAAACGAATGATTACATAAAACTACACTTTCCAAATTAGAAAGTTCCAACATTTTTTCCACGTGTAACAGAGATGTTATGTATTCTTGAATTCCTCAACCTACAAAGAGTTGTTAGCTAACACATGCTTGTAATTATCTACTGCCAAGACAATAACACCTGCATATGGAAACGAAAGAGTATCCTAAGAAAATTGACTCACATAGCAATCTTTGCCTTCCCTTCTGTATCGTGCTTCCCTCAGATCTGCAATGCTAGGCCTCACCTTCTCACCACGATACTCAACAACCTGCAAACAAACATATTTACCATAAAAGGATAACACAAAACAAACCTTTTGGTTGTTGAAAATCTACTCAAATAATAGACTCAAAGACAATTCCTTGAAGTTGTTCACAAAAAAAGATTTCAAAAACTATTAAAAAATTCAAGCAAAAGCACATAGAAGTCTCAATTTCTGTCAGTAATGTAAACTTTAAGTGATTATCATATTAGAAATAAATCCATATGTGAGTACATAGGCAAAAACACGTTTATATTGGAAACTACAAGTTCATTAAGTACCATTTCCCCTTCTTGAAAATTCCTACGTGCAAATAGACCCCATCCATGTATTCCAGATTTCCCAAAACAAACCCGGTGATTTTCAGTTTTCTGAAATAGGAACAAGAAACAGTTATTGAATTTTGCACAGGAGATGTAATCGAGAATATCCAACTCTGTAAAGTTAGCAACTATAGCCATATGAGAAGTTTGACTTACCTGTAAATGGAAAAGCCGATCCTTGAATGAAGAAAAAATTTTAGAATCTTCTACTTCCTAATAAAAGGCAAGTTAATCTGTCACACCAATCCACCAAAGAAAAATATATATTGTCTATACGGAAAACAAGACTTTTAACATTAGAAGTCAATAAAAAGTCTAATCAACAAGGACAAGAATATTACTTTAAATGTACTCAAGCTATTTATTGTGTCCAAGGAATGATGTGTTGGCCCCATTGGTCGGTGGAATATTGCTAGCTGCTCACCTCTCTGGCAGAAAATAACGAACATAAAACAATCAACAAATCAACTCAGAAACAATAAAGAAAAAAAAAATTGTTCACAACATTCATATAAAATAAGTTACGAGAAATTTCACAGGAAAACAAAAATCAAAAGATAATGAAAGGGATGCATAATATTCTAACACAATTACCTTATAGTTTGATCTTTTAAAAGCACAGCATCTTGCAGCAGAGAGTGGTTCCAACTCGTTAGTCTCTGAGGTCGAAGGTTCTGGAAGCACAGTCCTTTCTGATGGCACCACCCTTGCACCCCTGAAGCACCCCTTCTGATTTTGAAGCGAGTTTCTGGCAGCAAAAACCCCCGAAGGAGTATGCACAACTACAACAGCATCTGGATTTGGAGTCCTGCAGTGGAAACAAGATATGAATCAACAGATGTGACGCACAATAAGTTGCAACCAAAAATGGATACCACCTCACTGGTACGAGCAATAGAAAATACTACTCTGTCTAAACATAAGATAAATACGCCACAGTTCTAACCTGTGAACTGCACAATATATCAACTTTCTGGTGATTTGTATCCCATTCTTCTCTAGACTGTGCAACTGAAAGTTCAAGATACAATATGATCAAAATTCCAACACTGTTCACACATTATTTCTAGCCATTAAAAGATAGGTGCAATCATACAAACTACTAGAGGAAAAGTCATCATTCTCTGGACACTTACTTCCATGCTGTAGCCTGCTTTTGATGCACACATTGTATGAAAATGAGTAGCACATTTGCAACACTGGGTGCAGGAACCGTGAATCTGCTTACAAATTACACAACGCTGCACTCCAGAAGATAACGTAAATTAAATTACAGACTGCAAATTGCACCATCATGTAAAAACCAGACCAAAAAAAAGATATATAAATATTGCAAAACAAAAATTACACGCTATAAGTCCTTTCCCAACTTGAGGAGTAAACATGGAGATAACAAAAAACCATCCAAGAAAAATTACCCCTTGCAGTTAACAAGGAAAAGAAAACAGCAAGTGTCAGAAATTATAACTTTACCTTCAAAAAAGTAGTTGGTGGGATTTTGAGGATTCCAACAGCAGGTTCCATTTTCTCATGATTCAAGAAACCAACTTCACGGCGAAACCAAGCGCAAGAGACATGAACCCACAAGGTGTCAACATCAGTAGGCTTCAAAGCACCTCCTGAACAAACCACTTTCAGGTCAATTGCAGCAAATATACAAGGGAAGCAGTCAACTTTACTGAATATATAAAGTAACATCATCGTGTAAGTTTCATGCTTAATATGAATCATAAGCTTTTTTCATAAGATACAAAAACTCAGCGTACACCATTAAGATTATTAAAAAATATACATGACTATTCATGATATGGAAGAAGGAAAGAGAATATTCACATAAGCTTCCAAATTGAGGATGAAGGAAATATAGATGATAAGCATTAGTTAACAATGAGTCATCATTCACACGAAAAATAATAGTCAAATGAAAACAAAAAATAAATGTTTGGAATAGAAAAAAAAAATTGGGAACTCAAATAAAGATATTTTTATGTACACCATTAAATATTAAATCAACAATTAAAAAAATAGTCATCACTAAAAACACCAAAAATGTACGCAATAAACAAAAATCAAGACAAAATAACTAAGAAGTACTCACGACACTAGATATAGGCAACACACCTCTAACAGGACAAAGACAACATTCTCTAATGACATCAGGTGTTTCACATGCTCTACAAACCCACGATGTAAAATCCTGCACATCTTTTGCACCATAGCATTCTTGGTGCACAGCTATCTGACACCTGGACATAGCAACAAAAATTATATATAAAACTTTTGAATCTGATAGCTTTTTTATTATTAAAAAAATAGGTCCAATCTTGCACCAGAAAGAAGACTAAATCAATTATCTAAATATACAAAATTGGCACCCAGATATAACAAATGGTGGAGACAGACACCTGTTGCATATAATAATTTTGTTATCCTCCCAATCTTCAACCCATCTACA